TATATATATATATATATATATATAGAGAGAGAGAGAGAGAGAGAGAGAGGAAGGTTCAGGGAAAACCTAAAAAAATGAAAAATCGAAGAACACCATCACATTCATTGAATTAGAAAAATCAAAGGCTTAAATTAAAATGACATACTTATAAATAAAAAAGGAAGACAAGTTTATTTAAGTAAGGGTTTAATTAGATTGGAGGGTATTATTGAAAAAAACATTATTATTATTATTATTATTATTTTTTATTATTAAAATTCAATAATTTAGGAAGTTATCTTTCCTTTTTAATGTTGACCTCCTCTCCCTATTTATTCATTCTCTCTTTTTCTCTCTCTCTCTCTCTCTCTCATGAAGATAAACTCTAAATTTCCAGAGCAACATACGGAAGGTTGAAATGGAGAAGAAGACGTTGAAACGATGTTGTTAGTTGAGATGGAGGCCGGAGAAGAAGAAGAGGCGGGGGTGCTAAAGAAAGGAGTGTAGGAAGGCCGAAGTTAGAGTTTCACAGTGAAAGGGATATTGAATTTTAGATGCTCACAGCTGTATGCACATGTGCATGTAACACATGTACATCTTCTACATTTTATGAGGCTGAAATTGGATTTCAATTATTCATCTTTAAAAATATATGTTCTAGAGTTTATGCGCACATGAATACAAGGAGGAGTGCAAGCATTCATCTTCATCTCTCTCTCTCTCTCTCTATGTTCAATTTTTTTTGGTTTTATTTACACGTGAAAATGATGAATATTACGTCTCATTCACATGTGCATTCAACCTTGAAAAATAAAAGAAAGTGAATTTCATGATTCATTCACTTGTGCGTACAACCCAGACAATGAAGGATAGTGAATATGGTGACCCATTCACTTGTGCGTAAAATGCAAAAATTGAAATAAGATGAATATGAAGATTTATTCACGATGCATGCAACCTAAAAATCGAAAGACAATGAATGCAATGATTTATTCACATGTGCATGCAACTCATAAATTTAATGAAGTAATCAATTATGAAATATTTTAGGGGAGTGCTAATGGCACCCCTTAGTAAGGGGTGTTGATTTTCTTGGAAATTGAACCCATCAACTTTTTTCATAAACATCAACTCAATAATTATATATTTATATTTTATTAATTTTGTTTTATTTTATATATTTACATTAGAAAAATATATATTATTTTATTATTTTTATGTTATTTTATTATTTACAAATTATT